TATGAAATCAATGTGGAATTTAACGTAGAATAAGAATATTTTACTCAATTTAATATTAAAATAATATTTTAAGGTATTAATATGAAATTAAAAAATAACTTTTTTAGAAGAGTATTTTTCTTATGATATAAACGTTATTTATTGACGAAAATAATTAAAATATATTTAAAACCCTTCATTTCAACAGATGATATGATAAGGCAAATTAATAAATATAATTTTTTTATAATTATCAATTTGCCTTTTCATCTGCTGAAATGAAGCGAAATTATGGCCAAACAGTTTCTGTCCATTCGGGGTATACCACCAGGGCCTCGGTGGATGTAGAAAAGCCTACTGGTGAAGATCGGCCCAATGCCGATGATGGAGCTCGTGATCGGCCCGATCCCCGGGTAAACAACTAACTACAGAACAGGCAAACTGGACACGCCTTGTAACAAAGTGCCGGTGGATCGTTGAGGCCAGAAATGGCCACCTCAAACGATGCTTCCGGGACTTTGACAGGGTTTGGCCCAATCAATCCATCCCTCATATGATGAAAGACTTTAGAATTGCTTGCGCAATTCTAAACGTCTTTCATCCTGTCATTGAGAGCGACAAGAGGGATGGATTGACCCTAGCCACATCGATGTTAGATCGACTCGACGAGGACAACATACTTGCCAATGCCGTCGCAGCCCTCAACCTCAATCGGGAATCTTCTTCAGACAAATGGGAAAGAATTGATGGTTCTTTGGATTATCTTGATGATTTTCCCCATTTGTCTGAAGAAGATCTCCGATCAATCACAGTGGGTAGTTACCAACTGAGACAGGCCCGATCTTATTATGCGGAGCATATTAAGTTCAATGGGAGTTATGTGATAGATGTATGCAAACACACTGGCGATCTATCACTTAGCTCCCATGGCCTCTCAGTTGGAGACCCACTGTTGATTCGAGGGCGGATACAGTCTCGACACCGTTCTTCCAATAGATACTTTATCTACATCCTCATCGACAAAGCAGTTCAAGTCGATGAGAAGGACGGTGTCGATTCTGTATCCGGTTATTCTTGTTCTTGCCCTAATGGCCTCAGAACTGTGGGCTGTTGTGCCCATGTGGCCACAGTTCTGTGGTATCTCGGATTTGGTCGTCACCAATCCGAGATCCTAATTCCCGCAGATTTTTAAAATAATGTCTGTGAGGAAATAGGAGGGCAAGAACAAGAATAACAAGCGACATTTTGCATTGGCAAGGGTGATTTTTGGGGTTGGTGGTGGGATTGTGGAGGACAATGGGGGTTTGGAGGTTTGGGTGGGATGGGGGGTT